CATTGCAGGCATTTGGTGCAACGGCTGAATAGCTTGTCGCAGCCAAAAAAAAGGCGTCTAGCTGCACCAACATCAACACAACAATTGTGTCAGACGCGCAAGCATCGTAGACTCTGCGGTGAATTTTCAAACTCAAGAACGATAAAAGAGGCATCCTCGTGTGCAAAGACATGAGCCCGTGGCGCAGCAAACGCGACTGTGGTGGAGGGAAAGTTACCAGCGCAATGCAATATTGCTGACAATGACGTGCTTGCGTTGCAAGGAACGACAAAATCGATGAAGGGATCAGCGGTAGTCTATAAAGACCCATAGGCTCACTGGAACGTATGACCCCTCGATACTTGAAGACCAACCCACTTTGAACCCTTCATCTCATCACCCTTCCACGCTGAAGCCCCCTCCAAAAAACATGACATCCAAACCCACATTCAGCGCCTCCGAAATCGAAGGACAACTCTACCGTGTCGCAAACGCATTGGAGGGTATCCCAAAGTAGCAGTCTGGAGCATAAATTTGTCCATCAACAGAGTGTAACTTTGTGTTTACTTCGTTTTTGGGACTTTGGAGCAACGTTCAATCAGGATCATGGCTTTGAACGCAGCAAACACCCACTGCTGGTGCGGGTTCTGCAACCATGATTGACCTCGCGGGTGCCGCTGTTTTTTTCTGGCTGACAGTTGGGAGATGGCATTATAAGTATTATATATTCCTGGTATATCCATGGTTGCGGGCCATCGCGGAAAAAAAAAGAATCCAAGCGGACCACGTCAATATAAGCAACATCTGCGAAATGATCAACCAGAACTCATCTGAATCCAATCCACCACACCAAAAACCATAACAACTTTAAACATCAAAAGGTCTTCATCTACCTATATTCCAACACAATAGATAAAAAACAAACAAAAAGAAACCATCACTAACAACCCACTCCACACAGCTCCCCAAACCTCCACCAAACCCTCCTAATCAACCTTAATAGACGCAAAAATCTTCCTAACAAAAATAAGCGTAGAGAAATACCCCACCGTCCCCGTCAAAATGCTAAACAACAGCGAAATAACCAACGACCATCCAAAGTACAAAATCGCCGATGGGACGTTGTCGATATCTGCAAAGAAAGACCCAGAAGAGCCATTAGAATGTGACTCAAGAATAACCTTTCCCGCCCACAAAGAACAAAAAAGGCAAAAGGACAAAACAAGACACTTACGCAACTCCTTAACATAGAACACAACACTGTATGCAAAAACATACAACCCACTCGTCGCAGCAGTCATGAACGACCTCCACGACCAGTTATAATCCTACAGAAAGCAATGACAACATCAGTTCAAAAACTCAGGAAAACCTCCCGACACAACACCCGAAACAAAGCAAACCCCGAAACACATACCTCAGAACACAAATGGAAATAACACAAAAGCACAGCAACAAGACAACAAGTAACAACCAAAATCCCAAAAACAACCATCAAAAATCCAAACACATAATAAACCCTACCCGCCCAAATACTATTCATAATAAAGAATAACTCGATAAAAATCGCTCCGAACGGAAGCAAACCCCCAACAAGCGCCGACGTCCATCGATTCAGATACGCCGGTTGTGGCGGGATTTGCCGTGGGATTTGGTTCGTCTTGACGGGGTGCTCGACAGCGGGTGCGCGGAAGCCCAAGTAAGCGCCAACGAGACAGGTGGGGAGGGAGAGGACGAGCCAGAGGGCTAGGAGGGCGACGATGGAGCCGAAGGGGACGGCGGCGGAGGAGTGGGCTCCCACGAGGAAGAAGTTGAGGATTATGAAGATGAGGAAGAGGATTCTGGTCGGTAGACACACAATTCCATTTGTCAGTACCGCACAACCACAATGAGACGCGCCGACCGAGCAAAAGACCTTACCCAGGAATCAACGTAGCAGTCATAAACATATTCCTCTTCCAATACTCCCCCTGCAACATCTTATAAACCCTCGCCGAAACATACCCCGCAACACCCGCGAAAAGCAAATAGAACATGATCATAACAGTCGTAAGCGCACCCCGACTAGACGGCGACAAGAATCCAAGCACCGCGAACACTAAAATAACGCAACACGTCAATTGACCATCCCCACAAACCACCACAACCACCAAAGAACCCCAAAACAACATACCCAACGTAACACCAGCCATCATCAAAAGCTGCGCCCCATTCCCCAAAAGCACACTCAGAAGCATCCGATGATTCGGCGGCCGGAACACATCCGCATGGACAAGCTTCCACCCAAAATCTTCCTGTCCGCCATCTTCGTCGCCAAACTGATTGTACCGGGAAATATCCTTGTGCAAGGCGCGGAGGAGGATCATGCCGACCATGCCGGTCAACATGAAGATGATGACGATGGAGTTGATGATGCTGTTGGAGCCGATAATTAGGACAAAGTTCGAAAGACGACTATCTTCCGATTGAATCTCAAAAAAATCGTCGAAAATTTGGCATACCTGAACCAATGAATCTGAGGGTTGACAACCTGGAGGTACGCGTCCCACCGAGTGGCCCACTTCGTGTCAGATTGCTGATGTACACCAAAAATTTCGTGAGCAAAATCCCTTATAGCCAGCGCCATTTTCTATGCACAACTCCTTACCACCCAAGACACGGAATACGTATAATCAATAACGTTCTCTTTCGAGTCATCCAACGTAAAGCCCCACGACGCTTCAGTATTCGGGCAATTGAGCGCCTTGTAACCCTTCTTCACACTGCAGATGCCAATACCATCAGCAACAGATTCAGGTCCACCCCCCATACCCCGAAAGTCCACTCCCCAATGTCCACCAACCTTCGCGGCTCAACAACAGCACCCACAACACGATACAAATCAGTCTCCTCATTGTGATGATAGCTGATCGTGAAATCAAAATGGTTGTTCATGTATGCCTTTTGCTGCAATCAAGGTGGTCAATTGCCAGTCAATGCCCCCTCAAAATCTGTAACGAGGAAGCCTCTTTTTGCGAGACTCACGTCAATTTTGTGGACGAACCCCAAATCATGTCCAATAGTCAAGAATATCTGGCCCGTTTCCTCGTAAATTCTCCGCTCTGCAACCGGGAAGTTGTCCACAAACCAGTTTTGTTGATATTGTTCCTTGATTCTGCACAGGTACCAAAAGTCATGACCCGGTGTCAAATGATGGCATCCTGGGAACAGCCGCGTCGATTTGGTCATCATACCTCTCAATAAGGAATTTTGCGTCTTTCGCCGGAATGTGTTGATCCGCGCACAGTTGCTTACATGACTCGTTTCTCATGAATAGGAACTGAAAAGGCAAGGAAGTCAAAATTAATTTCCATGAGCAAACTAGATGCGTGGCCCCTTCTTCCGAACCCAGATGATCCCACTCCCTACACGACCCTCATGGGGGATCAAAAAACGCGTGGCCCTTTTCCGCAAACAAAATATCTCCCCCCTCGTCGCTTACCCAGCCAAACTACCCATACCTACCCCAATCCACCCATACAATCCCAAGCTCACTCAACACCAAACAAAAAGCCCCCCTATTCAAGGAAAACCCGCTCACCTCAAAATCACTCCTAAACAACCGGTCCCCAAACAAAATAGCGCCCAAACTCTCCCTCCCCGCACTCTCCTTCTCCTTCGGTTCACAAAAGTGAAACCTCTCAAAGTAGTAATCGTATGGGAGGAGACTTTCAGACGATGTAAGGGGGTTGACAGTCACGGGCACGCTATCGGATTCCATGTAGTCATTTGGTTGCACACCAGGAAGGTAGAAGGCCAGGGTGGTGGGAAGAAGGGTAAGGGCGGCCGTGAGGAGGGTGGTGGGTTTTGGGAAGCGCATCTTTAACAGGTATGTGTCTAAATGGAAATGTGAGTGACTCGAAGTGAGCTTCTCGCCTGCCAATAGCGGTCACTTGCTGTGCCAATGCTTCGTTGCTCTCACCTGCAGTAAAAGGCGTGTTGCCAATCCCAGTCGTATTTATAACGCTGACCGTAAGAGGCCCAGTCTCTGTTTACGCGTAGTGGTTGTCAGCGCAGGTTCACAGACAAGCCCACTTAGCGACTTGCTCAGAGTCTGACCTTCCGCACTCGTCTGCTTCAGAACGCGGATCGGGGTATACTCAACGAGGTGCAAAATGGAGATTGCGGCAAGAGGCGTTTGGGGAAGGGGGTGTTGTTGTGGGAAGGTTCCAACTTGGCGTGACAGTGGGCGCAGCCAGAAGGGGTGGAGGTGGCACAGCATTGTGTGGCGTATGGCGCAAAAAGCCTTGCACATGACATAAAGTCACATGACTTGCTTATAACATGAATGGGAAATTCCATCCAATCATATCCCGTGCTGACAAAGAAATGCAAACAACTGGGCTCGTGAATGGGGGTCACTCAAAATGAACTCCCCTCTCACCCCACTCATTCTCTTTTCAACTTCGCACGATAACAACGCTTTCCTTCCCGCAACATCGCATCACTATCAAGCACATCTGCTCACTTGATCACTCGTTTCACCCACATAACAACCACAGTCTCTCACACACCCCACCAACTCATCCTTCCCGGCAAGTACCTCCCTCCTCCATTCCCGCCGAACCTGGTGGTCGTAACACTCTCCCCGCACAAAAACGACCACTGAACCCCCCTCCACCCTCCAGCCGCCTCTCCCCTCCACAAGGTAATGATATGCCATACTCGCTTCCATACCACTTCCACATCACTAACTCCGGGGAACGCCGAGTAGCACTCTCCGCGTTCCCGTGCAAGCAGGTTTCGCATCCACGGTCGTGTCTCGCTCCGCACAAGGGCGCTCCCGTCTCTTCAAGCAAGAGCTCCGGGTCTCACTACGATGCACAAGTCCATGAACTATTGCCCTAGGTTCAATATACCATGGCATTGTATCCAGCAGCCTGCGGCCCTATGGACGGGGTGACGGGTGGTTTCTTTTCTTCTTCCCCTCAGCAACCTGCGGCCCTATGGGCGGGGTGACGAGGGGGTTTGGCCTGGTCCCGGCTCCTGTAGCTCAATGGTAGAGCACCTGCTTCGTGTAGGAGATGCCGGTTCAACTCCGGCCTGGGGTCGTATAGTTCAACTGTCTGCACCCGCCATTCTTTGTTTCTTGCAATGATACTTATGGCTTTTCAAAGCTTTTCACTTCTGAGTAATCAATGGATTTGTCCAGTATCAAAATTTCAAGAAGTATCACACTTATCACATAGAATCCTTAACCAGTTTCACCATATACACAAAAATGAGCGAGGCTAACGCCAATCATCTTCAGTTTCCCGATCTGCTGCAGCAAACACAGAACGTGTGTGGCGTATGGTGGTGGGAGTTGCCATCTGTGAGTCATATCTCATCATGCCGAGACTCCCCCCAAGCTCTTGCATTTCCACTCGAATTTTTCCCTTCACTCGAAAAGACACATTCTCAGTCAAAATTCTCTCACACACAAAAATACAACACTTTAATTGTTATTCCTACCCGCTGGCAAGCCTCAGTCATATTTGTCACTAGACCACACACCAGTATCAAACACAAAAACTCAGTCAGCTGCTACTCATCTCCAACCCCCATACGAAAAAAATGTTTCGAGCATATGGTGCACACGCACGGGAGGGTCAACCCCTCCACCAAGCCATGCAAAGCTTGAACAGAGTATTCGCACGTGCCGATTTCATCGCAGAATACGGTTTCCTGCTTCGGGGTGTCCCCAAGGACAAATCAGCCCTATCAGAGGACGAAATTGGCCAAAAGTTCATGGCAGTCATGGAGGGCGGCATCGGCACTGCTGAGGAGATTAGGACGATCCGAGACTTTTGTGGCGAAGGACTCGAACTAATGGTCACCACACCAACTGCCTACAATGATGTCTTGATGGAAGAATTTGAAGTTCCAGAGGACAGTGAAGCCCTTTTGCGCGACGACGATGCGTACATTGGCGGATGGTACTGCAGAGGAATCAACAAGTTCACACACACAATCTTCATAAATGAACAAGTAAGTACCTTTGGGGGGCTTGCCATCCCTTGTTTTTTTCCTGGTCCTTAGCTAAAAAGAAAAAATGTTAAACTGCTTTTTCCTGGTCTTGTTTTCAGTACCTTGAAGTCGCAACTACTGCACATCAGAAAGAGCTGCTGGCCGCTTTCCTGACCGTGACTGTTTGTCACGAATTCTCACACTTTGTCACAACGTCTGCCAAGATCGATTCTCCAATCGATCCTTGGCTTCCAGACAATAAATCCGAGCTGGAATTCGAAAGTGGCGAGCAGGTCGAACTGAACTTGTTTGCTAATGTGAGGATCAAGCCATGGAGAATACCTGGGACGTACGAGGTATGAATCCGGAAAAAAAAAAAAAAACAGTTGAAAATCCATCAAAAAATTCATCAACGTCCTAATTCCTGACACCCTTGAACATTTTACAGTTGAAGAATTTGTTGGCCCTGGTTTGGCCGGAAGGCAAAAAGGTTTTCGTGACAGCCGCTGTCATTGACGAATTGGTGCTAGGTGAGCCAGACACAGAATTAGGAAAAACATCAAAGGATATTTCTTAGACAAACCTTGGCAAGGAAAAAAAAAAACACCGGCCTCCCAATAATAACGTCCAACGATCTGCAGGTAAATACCCTTGGAGAAGTTCATTCGATGAAATGATTCAAACGTCTCGTCGATCCGTCGTTGAGGATCCAGCCTGCATCACGCGGAGAAGTTGTGGGACTTTGAGGTGGGGTGTTGGTGGGAAGGTTCTCGGTCAGCGGGGAGAAGTGTCTTTGGGTGGGAAGGATGTCAAGAATGTCGCAGGTAGAGACGCTGTGGCTGATTCGGTCAAGCACGCAGCAGCAAGGTATATGGAGCAGCGGAAGGCAGGAGGTGAGGGGGGCTCTTAGAACCGGCAAGACGTCAAACAACAAGTTGATCTTAGTGAGACTTGTGTGACCTTCAATGTAACAATGGCATCTGGTTGGGCTCTTCTGGATCCAAGTGGTTCCTCACTGCCTGTTTAATTATATGGCATTTGCCTCACGTCCCATCCCACCGTCAGTGGGACGTCACAGGGTTTGGCTTCATACCCGCAAACAGCCACAAACGCCCGTCGTTGCTGACCGAGATGGAGATTTGGATTCAAATTCATGGCCCGAGTCCCAACAATACTACATGTCACGGAAACGCGCTGTTACACTCGTGCTTCATACCAGGCGCCCAAACAATGTTTGTTCAGTCTCACGTGAAAAAAAAAGTAGTTGCACATAGAAGCTATGACCACATACACAAAGTAAGAGCATAGACCCACATCCCAAAACCAACCATCATAACGTATGAACAAAAACGTACATCCTATGATTACAACAAAAGACCAGGAAAAAAGGGAAGGAATAGAAAATGGGTAACGATCACACACTCACACCCCATATACAACCCCTACCTGCCACCTCTAAAGCACACCCCCACCCTCACCCCACCAATCAAACGCAAAAAAAAAAGGGAATGAGAAAAATTCTCATACAAGTGTTGAAACCTCGCAAACGGTTACAAAAAAAATACAATATGAAGCAAAAAGGACAGGCCAAACAACAAGCGACGACCGTCTGTCCCCAGGACCCCCACCTCCCACCCCACTTGCCACCCACCCCCCCCTCACTCCTGCAAGAACCCAATAGTCTCCTCAATAGCAATCGTAAGCTTCCCCTCCAACGCCGCAGAACTCTTATAAGGCGGCAAATCCAACCGGTTGAAACTATTCGCACCACACAAAAACAACAATCAGTAAAGAGCTACTTCCACCCCCTCAAAAAAAAAATAAAAAAAAAATGTAACAAAAAAACAAAATCAAAAACCAAACAAGTATGTATGTTAGTCAAAA